TTACTGAACAGGTCAGGATTTGGTAGAAAATAATTTAATTTTTTTTTCAACTCTGTGGTTTTCATTCCGTTATTCTGCTGCCCTCTGCTGAGCAAATGATATAATCATATTCATTAAATTTTTTAAAATCACTTGCTGAACAAATAATGTAGGTAAGTATTTCCAAATCTTTCCTAGCTATTTCATTTCTCCTTCTTTTTAAGAAATTGTAAGAAATTTAAGAAATTTGTATTACCCTGTCCCCAAAGGCAGCTGAGTGTTTTGTTGCCCTGAATGGTATCACAAATTTTGGTGGAATATAATCTATTTTATGAGATGCTTTACAAGCCAAGGTAAATGTTTGCATCTGTAGAACTGAAAACCGAAAAAGCTTCAAAACATTATTTTTTATTTATTATAATGTCTGACCTTTTCTTAAATTTATTCTCAGAGCAAACCTCAAAAGGCTTGAAAGTCTCAAAACCAGAGAAATGTCTAAGACTTCCATTTGGTTTTACTAAAACCTAGTAAACAGGAAATAAATATTTAGCTGGCTGTATATCTCAGCTTGGAGAAAGTTAGATTTTGTAGATATCTTTCTGATTTCGAAGAGCCCTTATTTATCCAATTTCTGTCACATCTGGCAGCCCATTAACTTCGATCTGAAACTCTATATCCCTTATTCTTTCAGTGAGCAGTTGTTTGGCTTAATAATATCCCCCAAAAAATTAGGAATGGCACAGGAAGGCCATATAAGGCCAACTTCTGCTCTACAGCCTGTTTCCAGGGAGAATTTTCTATTAAAAATAAAAAAAGTCAGTCCAACTGGGAAGAATTGGATTTTCAAGCAGTAATTTGTAATCCTCTTTCAAGTCCTTACCCGAATTGGAGCCATTATTGTGTCAAGCCTTAACTGAGCATTTGCTGTTCCATTGGGTGCAACAAGGTTTGATCTGAAAAATGTTTTTGTACTGTTTTCAGTGCACTCTTCTTCACACAAATTCCTGCTTGTGTCCCATAAAGAATCTGGGCCAGTTGTTTGGCTTCAAAAAGTTTTAATACCAGTGGAATTAATTGTCCACTGCTTGTATAAAGGAAGCAATTAATAGCACTTGTAGTCCTAAGAGCTAAATGCAGTACATCATTCTGGTGCATTTTCCATGTGCTTTTAGAATAGAATATTATCCCAAGGTATTTAAATGCAGTAATCTGCACTAATTTGTGCCCTTCCACTCTCCAGGAACGTTGGTTGGTTCTCTTAACAAAGACCAGCATTTTAGATTTATCAAAAGAACCAGATGATTTTGTCTGTAGTTCCAAAATATATTGCTGCTATTGCTGTTTTCAGCCAGTATTCTTTCTCAAATATGTATTACTATTATAATTTAAGACAGGATAAAGTAAGGAAGGAAAGAAAGAATAGTATAATGGTTACAGTTGTGAACTGTTTTGTGATTCCCAGCTCAACCTACTAAATTTCCTTTGTGCTTATGAGAAACATTCTTGAGACATTTACAAGTTTATCCACTACTTGCATCCCACAAAAAGAATGTTTGCTGGCAGTAACTACGTGGCTGATTTCATTAGAGCACTGTAGATCAAATGTTTTGCAATGCTGGACCAATAAATTCAGAAAATGCAAGGACTATCCAATTAAACAGATACCTCTCCCTATGATTTCATCTTTAAAAATATGGGAGTTCACATTTTTTGATAAATAAGACAATGATTTGTATATATTCCTTCCAATCCATTCCATAGTCTTTACTTGCTGTTACAAAAGGGTTTCACCAGGGGTCGCTGTGCCCCTTTGTCTGCCAATTTACCAGAGACCAACAATCATTCTGCTCTGAGGTTCCCATGGACGCTGGCTGCTAGGGTTGGGTCACATCTGGCAGACACAGGAAACTGAGTTCTTGCAGATGTTCCTGGAGTGGACAGAACATGACAGGGAGGCTGTGACTTAAACACCAGCCCTTGTGGTTCCATGGCATGGGGAAGATGTGTGTGGCTAGTGGGAGATCACATTGGGAGGTGTTTTGCTTGGCTGGTCTATCTCCCTCATGTCCTGTTCTCACGACTGTGTGTTGCTATCCCAGTTTATACACTTCCCACCCCTTATGCTGCACCAGAGTAGCACCAGAGTTATGGTACTGAAGCATGAATCAAAGGACCCAAAATATCCTCCTCCTTTTGATACAGAAAGTGAAAGGATGACGTTGAACCATTCATTCTCACCTGCCCTGATATTAGTATGCCTCGGTAGGGGCAAAAAGGGGGTGGGGGGCAGAAGTATTTAATGCCAGCCAGAGTCAAGGATTGAAAGGTAAGAAATTGGGCAAGCAAGTTAAAAACCTGTTGTGTGAAAGTGTGGTGTATACTCTGAAAGCATATGAAATACAATTCATCTCAGTGCAGAGGGTGCATTTCTCTCACTAATGTAGTTCTGGATTGTACATATAAACTGTTTGCACTCCAGACAATTCCTGACCATTAATATATCTGGGGGTTTGGCAGCTGCTAGTACTGTAATCAAGCAAAGTGTATAAAGTAACTCAGATACAATTCTGCACTCTGACAATCTATTCTGTTGACCCACCTGGAGGGCATAGTGAAGAAGTGATTTTAAGAGTCATGAATTGCATGGGTGCCCTTTGAAAATAGCCAAATAGGTTCTAGGTGTGGATAAAGGGAGGGCCACTCTTCCCCACTTAGATGCAGCTACATGTGAGAGGTTTGGGTGACCAACAACCATTGTCTCTTGATGTCGACATGGAATTGCATGATCCAATGCTCTTGTTGCCTTTGGGCCAGAAATTGTGGCCCATCACACAATTCAGTGTCATCTTGACCATGCAGAATCCGGTAAAACTGATGAAAGTAGGAGCACAAGGCGGGGTTGTTTAAGGAAGCTGCATGGGCAACAATTTATATTCAGAAAGAAAAGACTTTGTTTTGGTCATAACCCTGCCTTAGCCCTGAACTCTGCAAAAACATAGGTATTTCTATGACTGTAGTAGAACCCTTTCAGAAGTTTTCTTTCATCCTGGATTTCAAGAAGAGTGACTGACTGCCTTGTTCCTTCTCCACATAATGCTCCACCACTGCTTCAGCCGTTCTTTAAAGCCAGTGGACAGAAGACCAAACAACTACAGGGAGAGATCCAAAACAAAGACTGGTTTCAGATCCAGGTTGGAAGCTGGAATGGGAAGTACACAACCTTCCAGGGACAAACATAGGATGAAAAAGAATGAAAAAGCAAAGCCAGGGGAGAATTTGGTTGCACAACTTTCCCAATCATATAACTCAGTGAAATAGCCATTTGCCATGGAATTTCCTCTTTCAGATTCCCTTTCAGGAGAGGAGAGTTGGATGAGGAATTTAAAGTTGAAGGTTCAATTGGCTATCTAGGGCTATACTCCTGTGAGAGACTGAGGAGTATGTTTGAAGAAAACCCCACAAGAACCATTCTCAAGGATGCCTCTATTGTAGGCTAGCTCTGGGATGAGTGAGAGGTTTTCCAGATCTGTATTCTTGAAATGGAAGATGAATTATGGCAGGGTAAATTGTATGGATTAGGCTTCTCTCAAGTGAAATTACAGGAGCTTTGTGGCTATTTACATCTAAATTTTTCATCTTTAGGTCCTACCTCACTGTTCAGCTCACTGTTACATTATACATATTTCGGTGATCTCCCCTTACCTCAATCTTAGAACTTCCATTTTCTTTTCACCCCAAAATCTCCTCTATTGATGGGTTATTAAAATGCCTACTTTTATTATACTTATATTTTCTGCAGTATGCAAAAGAATGCTTTTTATACTAAAATTTCTCTTTTATATGCCAGTTGTCTTTCTAGCCAACTTTATATATTTATTGGAGTCATATTCTACTCTAAGCTCCTTAACTTTTTTTCTAGGATATATCAAGTCATATTTCATCTGAAATTCATAACATGAAGGTACATTGACAGCTTCTATTGGCAGAGCTAGAGGTTCATGTTTCACTAACACATTCAGCGTCTTTAGAAGATACAGAATTGCAGAGGTTGCTATTCTGTTGATGGCAACAAAACAGAACAGAACAAAACAACCCTGCTCATTCTTGCTTAGCCTAAGGCTTTAGCCAGCCATTTCCACACTAAGGTAGAATTTATCAAAAGATGTAGTTTTAATGATGTTAGGTAAACAGGGTAGGGGAACTGGAAAGCAGCTGCTAGTGGGGAAATCCTTTGTTTTACCTAACTTCCTCAGGCAGGAACATAAAAATCTTTTTTTTAAAAAAATCAAGCATTTCAGCCTAAACGAGGCCTTGTGCAATCAGGAAAATCCCGATGCTACTTCAAGACACATTTAAATCAAGGAGGGGTTTGATAAGTTGTGTAGGTGAAAGGGGGCAGATGCGTAGCCCCCATCTGAGAACAAGTTTGGAAGCCTTGGACAAATAAAGATGCGGCAGATCAGTGCTGGAATAGTTTCCCGATTTTTACATTACTTCTGTCATCTCAGCAGCGGGATCGAAAGGCAACCTCTTCCCCTCAACATAGGCTCTGGTTGAATTTCTGGCTCCCATCTCACTTTCGGGTCGTGCTTGCAAACCACCGGAGACGCCAGGACTTCCTGAGTTGAGGAGCCATGCTCGTGTCTCGCTCCCGGCTTCCTGGGCCCGTTGCAGGGGTTATGAGCCCCCCCTCGCCTTGGGGAGGGGGCGCCGCGCCGCGGCGGCCGCATCCCAGGCAACGTCTAGCGCTTCGAGGGCGTCTCCAGTCCCTGTGTGGATGGAGGAGGGCTGTGCCCAAAGACCCACCACCACTTTTTCTTCAGGGCTGCCCCCTCCCTCCTTTGTTCTCTCGGCCCCGCCCCTCCCTCACTTTTGCTTGCCCATTGGCTCATGCAGCTTTCACTCGGGGTGGGGGACCCGCTTGGTCCCGCTCCCGGACCCTGGGTGAGATTGCCGAGGCAGGGAGCCCCGGCGTTGCCTTCGTTCCGTTTTTGCCTCGTCCCGGGCTCCGGCAGCGGCGCGAGACCGGCAGCAGGTAAGGGCTCGCGCGCTTCCCAACCCCAGCGCGTCCGCTCCTCCAAGTCATGGCCGAGCAGGAAGGAGGGAGGCTGCTAGCCCGGGAGCCTTCAAGCCCGGAGACAAAAGGCGGCCTCTCATGGCCACGGCCGGGTGCCCGCCGGGTGCCTCACTTCTGAATGGCCTGGCGAGACTCCGAGGTCGAAGGCTGCGCGCTTGTGGCGCTGAGTCTCTGGGCGGTGGGCTGAAAGCAAGACGGGGTCTGCCCAAAAGCTCGCCTTTCGGCCTGCCAGGGAGATTGCATCATGTAACAGTTCCAGACTGGGCGCGGAACGCTCTTTGCTAAATTCTCCAGGCCTAAGAAAGCCTCCCGCCTCTTGCCCTGGTAGGTTGGATTGGCTGGCGGGGGATTTGGAAGGCTGAGCGGCGAGGAAATACGATGGGCTGCCGCAGGGATTAGTCCTCCGAGTGGAGTTTCCGAGCAGCCGGGAAGAGTGGGTTTCGAGGCGGGAGAGGTTTAGGGAGAAACTGTTTGCAAGCAGCGGTCTCCAGACTTCAGTAGAATGGTACCGATGCTCCGGCTTTGTGTACAGTGTCCAAAAGGTTAGGTTACGTTGCACAGATCTGTGCGTTACACGTTTGTACAGTGATGTAGCATAGTCAGATTCATAATTAAGACCCGCAAAATATAGGTCTCCTACATCTGTTTACGGCAAATGCTGAATAGAGAAGCAAAAGATTGCTGTTAATTAAATTGGTAGACTTGGAAAGGAGCGTATTTCCGACTAAAGTTGCAAAGACTTCAGTAAGTCAAACAGTGTATGTGTATGTTTGAAATAAGTAAGAATTCAGCATACTACAATAAAAAATAACGTAACTTCTTTTAAAAACTGGTTGAAAACCTTAACAATTATTTTAATTAAGGTACTTTCAAAGAATTGCTAGCCTGTGCTAAAGACTGCACATATTATTGTTGTAGTCATTGTTCTAATAAAAAATAGCCTTCATAATGTAGTATGATAGAATTAATTGTTAATCTTTTCTGGGAAAATTTATTTTAATCTTTGGCTTTAATAATATGATATGCTATATTAACATTTTATAAAAATTAGTTGAATAACAAAGTAGCACTAGGCTAATGGATAAATATAAACACTACATCAGGTGCAGGAATGGACAGAATCAAGGTAGGCAGATATAGAGCAAACATTCCACACTCACAGTTTAAAAAAACTAGAAAATAGCAACAAAAAGTATGTGTCTTTTTAGTGTGCAAAGTACCTGCAATATCTGAGATTACTGTAATAGAGTAAAATTTTAGTGGGATTTCCTATTCCTCAAATTCCATTCAATTTGTATTGATTCTCAACTAATAATTTCCACCTAAAGGAACAAATGAATTTCCATTTCAAAAGGCAATAATAAACTGAGTAATTGAAGATAACATTGCTAGTAAAAACAATTGTGTAAAAATATTACAATGAATAAAACTTCAAATGAAGAGAGAAGTCTAATAAGCAGAAAACTTCATTTCACTGACATTAGTTACTCAAAATTCAATTGTTGATTCCAACTTTCACATATGATACCTTTGAAATTGAACTTTCTTTATTACAGGTAGTCCTCAACTTACAACCATTTGTTTAGTAATCCTTGAAATTACAATAGCACTGAAAAAGTGACTTATGACTGGTCCTCAAACTTACAACTTTCACAGCATTCCCACTGTACCTGAGCAAAATTTGGGTGCTTGGGAACCTGCATCTATTTAAAATGGTTGCAATGTCCTGGGATCAGGTGATCACCATCTGTGATCTTCCGTGCAGTGATTCACTTAACAATCATACCAAAAAAGGTCATAAAACTGGGAGCAACTCATTTAACAAACATCTTGCTCAGAAGTGGAAATTCTGGTCCCAGTTGGAGTCGTCAGTTGAGGATTACCTGTATAGACTTTGAAAAATAAATTGCTATAAGAAATCTATTACTCCAGAAAATATCACGCAACAATAGAATAGCGAGCTAAGTCAAACTTTGCCCATTTGTATGGCTTAATGAAGGTATTTTGTAACCCAGAATGTGAGTGAAGAGTTAACATCCCTTAAAAGATAAAGAACATAAAATGTACTTATATGACCCTCAAATCTGGAAACAATTGTGGAGAGCAAATGAGTTAAATAATTGTGAATTGGGATATCATTTAAGGGTCGTGTAGGAATACATGGGCAAGAGTTTCTACCTCCCAAGAACCTGATTTTATCCTCTTTTAAATATTCTTATGTTGCAATTTCATCACCCCCCCTACTTTTAACCAGACTGGTCAGATTAGATTTCTTTTTAGTCAAGCAAAAGTAAATCAGTAGTCAAGATGATTCAACTTAATGTTATAAGTTGCTATAATGTTATATTCATTTGTAACTGAAAAGTATACTTGCTGTTGCAGGTTGAATACATGTAGGTAGTCCTTGGGTTACAGTGGCAATTGTGATTTGCTAAGCGATGCGCTCATAATGCCACATCAAATGGCCATTTTGCTTAGCAACAGCCCTGATTACCATTGTTAAGGACTGTTTGGGTTGTTAAGTGAGGATCTTGTGATACTGACTTCCTGCTGGCTTCCACCTTGACATTGCTTGTGGGAAGCTGGCATGGAATATCAGAGATTGGGATCACCTAACTGCAATTTGCTGCAATCTCATAACTGCAGTCAAGCACCCCAGTCATAGTCATGTGATCGTGTCTCTGTTTCTTTATATTCATAGTTTTCTGATATTCAAGTTTATATACTTTTTGTTAGAAATGAGTGAATCAAATATGAGTAGGTTTATCTTTTCTTTGTTGTTACCGGTGTGCCATCTTCATTGAACACCTAGTATACCAATTCTTTTCTTTTTCTCTTCTTTTGAACAAAACTAAATGGTTTTTTTTTCATATTTGTGAATCATCCTTCAATTCTAAGTTTGAATTTTTCCTTTTCTGATCCAAGCTCTGTAGTGTCAAACTACCAGTCTGTAGTCTTCCTTTATTAACCTGATAATCTAGAACGCTGTAAAGCTTTGCTGCTTTAATCCTATGCGTACTAAGTGTTCATATATTTTCATCATTAGTATCTGAAAATGGATAGGGATATATGTCCCTTAGTTGGATTAGGTACAATATAGCAAACCTGAGGGCTACCTCAGAAGGGCTACCCCAAATTCTTGGCAAATGACAATTATCTCTGTCAGTAAAAAGGAAGAAGAGCTTTGCATTTTCGCTTTTTCTTTTCAGTATCCCTTTTTAATTTATCTTACATCTTCCTATCATCTGAGAAAGAAGATATAATTATTAATGCTGCTTGTTAATTAGAACTATACATGTTTCAGAAATGCTTAGGAAAACGTGCTTCAGTCCTTAGAGAGGGATAGCATATCTGTGCTATTCCTTAAAGCAGTCTGTTTTCTCTTATTTCTGTAATTGAAAAAAGGATGCAGCTGCTTTAAGAATCACATTAACGAGTTAAAGTCTTAATGCTATCACATCTTTTTATAGACTCACAGGAGAAAAAAGGTAGGTTGTTTCTAAATGAATGCGGATATGCAGCAAATTCCAAAGTACTTATTTCAAGTTATTTTTGGAGCATGCACAAGCTTAACAATTACAACAACATTTTGCTGAAAAACAAAAGTGATATTTTTAGAAATAGTTCTGCTTAAATAAGTATATTTGAAAACAATTTTACTAAACTCAGGGTTGAGGTATTTTATTTTCAGGAGAGTTTGTTTCCACTGAAATGTTAACTGCGTCAAAGACAATTTTGTCAAAAAAAAAATTAAGAGCAGAACTTAGTTTTGAATAGAATTAATGTTTATTTGCTCAGCTATGAGGGGCAAGCTATGTGTTTGGTCTCTTGGTCAGAGTAAGTTAAATCTGAAGAGGAACTGTGTCCAAAGAAGATACATTTCCAGCTGGGATCTGTAATTGAAATTTTAAAAGAGGGGGCAGTCCTTATTAGGTCATTCACATTTATGAACAATACAGATAAAATCCCTAATGAATTGGCAGGAATATTCAATTTTGCTTGTACTTGGCAAGCATGCTTATTCTGGCAGAAGCCTCTGCCTTTCTCTTGAGTCTGAAAAAGGCCCAGGCTATTTCTCTGACCTCACACTTAGTTGTGGTTACAGTTGTTTAAACAATAGGACTTTTTTCATCTCCCCAAGGGATTCCAAAGTAAGCACAGGATCAGAGAGAGACACACCCTTCTATGGGTTTCAAAAAAGGCAGACATATTTGTGCTGAATCTGTCTTTTAGTCTGCCGTGTCCTACATTTTAAATGGAAAATATCATTTACAGAACACATATTTAGCAAAATAATTTTCATATATAAAAATGGCTCAAAATGCTTAAACTTTTGAAGAGGTGCACCTAGTACACTATTTCAAACCATGAAAAGGGAATTATCTAGGAATGCAAAGCAATCAGCCATGCACCCATTATTTTTATTTAAGATGTAGGATTGAGCAGGGGGCTGGCAAATAGCAAGGGGGATTTTCTGAAGAGAAATGTCTTAGCAGTTCCCTCTCTGTACGCGTGTGGGTGTATGTATGTGTGTGTGTGTATATATATACGTATATACACACACACAAACATACAAATACATACATAGATACATACATGGCTGCATGACAGATCCCGTTCATGTTTAGAATTTCCTTATTCAACACAGAAAGGGGATCCAAAGAAGAACTTTTGGGAGATAACGTTACTTTTGCTGTCTGTACTTTTTGAAACCTCATTCATGTTTTGGGAGGCCCTTCCTGGCTTAGCAGGAAGAACTGGATAAGATAGTAGGGATTGACAGTCATTTTCTACTGTGAATTTTACTATTGCCTTTAAAAAAATATTTATGGATTTTGGCACAAGAATGTTTAGGCAGCATCTGCCAAATAGATAATTATTCTATAGGCGTGAGCCTCAAATCTGTACAGGTAGTCCTCAACTTACAACACTTCGTGTAGTGACCATTCAAAATTACAACGGCATTGAAAAAGGTGTCCTATGACCATTTTCACACTTATGACTGTTGGCCCATCCCTACAGTCACATAAGATTTACATTCGGATGCTTTACATCTAGTTCATATTTATGGCGGTTACAATGTCCCGGGGTCATCTGAACATCTTTTGCGACCTTCTGACAAGCAAAGTCAACGGGGAAGCCAGATTCATTTAACAACTGTGTTACTAATTTAACAACTGCACTGATTCACTTAACAATTTTGGCAAGAAAAGTCGTAAAGTGGGGCTAAACTCACTTAACAAATTTCTCACTTGGCAACATAAATTCTGTGCTCAATTGTACTGCTAAATGTATTTATATCTCTTTGGAAATAGAAATAAATTAAAAATGGTTGTCATCTGTTTTTGGAGTGGACAGAAGAGACCAGTTTCCACTGGGATTGATTGGTTAGAATTGGTCAAGAGTACTGTATGTGAATCTAACTTATGATTTAGTCACCACACTTGAATGACACTAAATAAACAAAACATTACACAACAATTAACATTTGAATGGCATTAACAATAATTTTTTGCTTTGATTCAATGTCTGTGCTGTTATGTTTAACATTATCTTGAAAGGGCTTCCACTATTTAGGGCTTTGGTTGGGTGGCACTGAAGATTACCATACTGATTTCTTTTCTGCAGTCTTTGAAGAACCTTTACTCTCATCAGAGTGAGCCCAGTTAGGGAGGTCTTTCCCAAATTAAAATTGTAAGGAGAAAAATATTAAGGTACAGAGACGTAATATTTTAAAAAAGAAAACTAAACTTAATTTTAGAACAACATATTTTAAAATGTATGGATTTTTTCCTGAATTTCTGTAGGGTGTCCTTACTGTTTATAATTTTAAGACCAATTGACTTATTAAAGAACATAATTCATCTACTGCTTTGTGAGGTTTTTTTTTAATGTTGGTGTTGAGTATATGGGGAGTTGATCTGATCACATGTGCAGGTGGGCTACAACAAAACTTTTCTCTTCAGATGTTTACTTTATGACATTTTCTTTCTTTTGGATGGTATAAGTTGTTCAGAGTAGCGATGCTCCCTCAGAAGTTTGCAAGAAGGGGCTGGATAGCCAGTTATCAGGAATGTTATATAATAGATTTGTTATAACTGCGAGGAATTAAACTAGATGACCTTTAGCACACATTCCTGTTCTTTGATTAACAATTTTTATTTACTTAGTCAGATGACTAATTCTGATTGATTTTATGGCATCAAATTGTTGTTGGCTCTTAATAGCCACATAGATTGTGGTAGGGGGCTGTTTCTGAGTAGTATGAGCAAAGAACATCAAGTGTGCATGCTAAAAATATGTATATCTCCCAGGAGGATCACATAAGTTGTGAAGGTCATCCCACTGCCTAGTAGTTAAAGCAAGCAGAAATCTATTCTTGGGCAGCAGTGATATAGGAAGATGCCGGATGCAGCAAAGAATACTATTCATACTATATAGAAGAAGAAGGCAACGGTAAATAACCCTTGGATTTTTACCAAGAAGATCACATAGATAGACCAAATGTAGTCACATAAATGAATTATAATCTGCTTTTCAAGAATTAGCTGGGCTTGATTGTGCTTAACATCTGAATCCTGATGTGGTCAGGCAGATGCTGCCACCTGCTGAAAAGCTCTGTGAAGGCTATAACTAAGCATTAAATGAAACTGTTTCCAAAGTCAGTGAGATTCCCATCTGGGTAATGGCCACAAACTGATCTTAAAAAAAATTAAATAGGATCTCATCTGGTTAGAATGTGAATCCAAGACTACTAGGGTAAACCCAGGGTTATAGGTTAGCCTGGGAAATAAAAAAATACACAAAAAGACATTAGCAAACAAATTCTGTAATCTTGCTAGGAAAATTTCATGTATGTGGCATCAGGATTCATCCTTGACTGAGAGGAATCTTTGTCTTATAAGAGTGAAGGGAGGAGCTAGCTTGGTAGAAAGTAGACATTTGGTGATACATGGAATTATGCAAACATTTTTGTGATGGGAAAGAAAAGAATATTTGGTCTTGATTATGTTGACTGATGTAATGTTCTGTTCAAGTTGTTCACTATATAAACTACACCTGATTGCATTTGGCATACAAGCAATAGGTCAGCTAGGTGTGGCTTTCATATTTGAAATACTGTGCTAAAGAACTTCTAAGCATCTAATTTCTTTTATATGTTGTAAATGAATGCAGAAAAGGAACATTGAGTATAGAGGTTTTAATGATATTTCAAACACTTCAGAATTCTGAAGCATTTTTATTTTACAGAGTATTGAAAAATTTGGTAAATAAACATTTTCAGTTAAAAATCATGAATATAACTGAAGAATAGCTTCATGAATTTTATATATATATTTCGTGAACAGAAAGTCTCAGTCTGAAAATTTATGTTATAATAACTTTAAATAAAATAATTACTTGATTTCTCAGTAACAAATCAAGATACTTGTCTCTGTATATTGCATATACTTTTGATAAATGAACTTGGAGAGGAAGAAATTTTAATCTCAATAAAAGCACTTTTTATTAAAAAAAAAAAAAACCAAAACCTTATGTGAAACAGATTCTTTGGGCCTGTGGTAGGTTGGTGTTGTGGGTAACATGTTGTGGACTGAAGTAATAGGATGTGACAAATCCTACTTTGACTATTTCTAGGCATATCTTGATTAAACCTTGATAATAATGTGGAAACTTCTTTTTCTTATCTTTAGGGCTAGAAGAATTATATGGATAACTTTTTTCTGTGTATATTCTGACATATTTTATTGTCACTAGATGTAAAAACACTTAAATACAGTATTTAACAATGAGGTTAAGTATGTGATAGATTAAAAGTAAAACAAATTAGTACTAAACATTTCAAACTGAAAACACATGATAATTGAAGTCTTTATTTATGAAGCATTCTGTTGGGATAAAACAGTTTCCATGTTGCCAATATACAGCATGCTGTGAGATTATTAAATTTACATGACTTTGTCTTAAACAGATGGTGGCAGTAGCTACTTAATTCTGAAAGAAATCTTTTTTTAATTTACTAGTTATTAATGGCAAGATAAGTAAAGCATTCTCAGTTTTCCTCATGAAGCTTATGTGAATGAATGGTGTTTATTACTTGATCCAAAAGTTCAGCAGATTAGAGCCCTTGTGACAAACTTGTATCTGGATATGAAGTTTGCATTCAGAAGTAAGATGCCAGAAATATGAAAAGCTGCTCCCAAGATCTCATGAGTCTTTAATGAATGCTTCATCATTTGTAAACTTGCCAGCAGGACGTAGGGATAATTCTCCTTACTAGCAAATTGTCTTTTGAACATAAAAGATTTCATTTTGCTAAAGCAAGCAGCCATAAGTTTTTCCTCCCTTAATATTTTTAATTTTGTTAAAAGCATCTGAACCTGACTGAGGGTTATCAGAATTCATACACTTTAATTGAAGAGTATATAATTACCATTTTATTTCAGTTTATAAAATACAACATGTAAATAATCTGTAGAGCATAGGCATCTCTTCGTATAAATATATATAATATATAATTGTCAAGCACAAAGAAATTATGCTTCTGAAATTCAGCAGCACACATTTCTCCCGTGTTTAACTTCTTTTGCTTACTAAGCTTATTCTTTTTTTGGCACCTTGTATAAAGTTGTGTACTTCAAAAAACAATACTATGATGGATTTGTATGTGTATGTGTATGATTAGGCAGCTATTAATGATAATTTTAATACATTACAATATATATATATATTTGTTTATAGAGCTCCTAGGTTATGTGTTATAAAAATGTTTTAGGTTCCATTTAGATGCTTTATTTTTACCTTTCAGCCATGGAAGAATTAATAGTTGAACTCCAGCTGTTTCTTCAACTTCTGGACCATGAATACTTGACATCTACGGTCAGGGAAAAGAAAGCAGTTTTAAATAACATTCTTCTAAGGATACAGGCAACAAAAGGTCAGGGTCATTCTCATACTGTTTACATACATGATGCTCTAAAGCAACATGCAGAGACAGAAAGAAAACAATCGAAATCCTCACCTCTGCCATCAGATATAGTGTTTCTGTATTTATGCAAAACACCTTAGAACTTTTTTGGGGCTGTTTTCTTGTCTCCCTATGAGGAGGTTTGGTGGGAGCTGCCTGAAAGATAGAGGGATGTCTTCATGACTGTTTCATTGTTTTCTGTTTAAGGTATTGAACTAGGAGCAGGGAGAAACCCACTGCCTTTCTCTCAGGCCAACCTATCTCATAAGATCCCTGTGGGAAAAATGTGGAGGGGGGAAAACTCTATACACTGCCTTAGAGTTCTGGCAGAAAGGCAAGACACATAACTAACACACACCCAAGCAAATGCACTGGGCCTTATGCTAGCTGGGAATTTGAGGAGCTATACCCAACAGTTCTGGCGGACGTTAGACTGGGAAAGGCTGCCTTCTAATATAGATTGATGGTTTTGTGTATTGTGGAATAGTCCTTCTTTCCAGCTTTTGCTTTTCATTTGATGAGATATTCTGTTTTCTTTTTTTCATTTTCATATGTACATATGTTTGTATCATCAAATATTGTGGAAAGCTTTTCACTCCATTTAATATTTTCTGTTGTAAATGCATTTTTCCCTTTCCATTAGACTTTGAGGTAAAAGAAAATGTACAGAGACAAGAGATTGCCATCAATTTGCCTGCACCACCTCAGATGCCTTTGCCAGAAATCCCACAGCAATGGCTGGTAAGTCTGTCATGAGAGATCTCATTTCTCCTTTCCTCAGTTTTTAAACCAAGCTACACATTTATCTGAATTGGTTCCTTCTAAATGATTGTATAAAGAATGTTTCATTTATTTCAAGTAATTATTTAATGACAACCAAAGATTATTCCATCACCAATTGGATGTCTTATACTTATTCAAAATTCATTTAAGATCTCATTTAAATGTTTAATATTTTGTTTATTTTATGAAAGGTTTCAGCAGATAAGTAGTTTTCTTTCCAGATTACTTACACAAGTGATTCATCTGGTGTATTAGCTAGTATCACTGAAATAAATTTGCATGCAAAATGTTTTTCAAATTATAACTGGGTATTAAGTGATTATTTGTATTTATGTAGTTAGTAGTTATGCAAAGAAAGGTGAAGGTTTCCCCTATCCCAGGGGTAGGCAACCTTGGCTCTTTTATGACTCGTGGACTTCAACTCCCAGAACTCCTGAGCCAGCATAGCTGGCTCAGGAGTTCTGGGAGTTGAAGTCCACGAGTCATAAAAGAGCCAAGGTTGCCTACCCCTGCCCTATCCAGTCATGTCTGACTCTAGGGAAAGGTGCTCATCTCTGAGAGAGCCAGCATGGTCTGAAGACATTTCCGTGGTCATGTAGCCAGCATAACTATATACACCAAGGTGCACAGAACGCTGTTACCTTCCCACTTCTCTTGAAGTGGTACCTATTTATCTATTTGCATTTGCATGCTTTTGAACTGCTAGGTGGGCAGGAGCTCACCCTGTTGTACAGCACTCGGGTTTTGAACCTGGGCTGTCAGCTTTTTAGCTGACAAGCTCAGCCTCTTTAACCGCTGAGCCATCGCGCCTCCAGCAGTTATGTATTATATGACATATCTGAGATTGATGCAAAATAATTACGTTTTATTTCCATTAGTTTATACTTGGTAATTATTAGAATATAACTGATGATATTTTGCAGTATTTAACAGTTTGTTGTTGTTCTAAGTTGCGAAGTCATGTCCGACCCATCGCGACCCCATGGACAACGTTCCTCCAGGCCTCTACCATCTTCTGGAGTCCATTTAAGCTCACGCCTACTGCTTCAGTGACTCCATCCAGCCACCTCATTCTCTGTCGTCCATTTCTTCTATTGCCCTCAATCTTTCCCAGCATTAGGCTCTTCTCCAGTGAGTCCTTCCTTCTCATTAGGTGGCCAAAGTACTTGAATTTCAACTTCAGTATCTGGCCTTCTACAGAGCAGTCAGGGTTGATCTCCTCTAGGACTGACCGGTTTGATCGCCTTGCAGTCCAGGGGACTCACAGGAGTCTTCTCCAGCACCATAGTTCAAAGGCCTCAATTCTTTTGTGCTCAGCCTTTCATTTAACAGTTAATATGAAATTATAAAAAAGGTGAAATTATAAAAAAAATATGAAATTATAAAAAACTAGATTTTCTAGTTTTCAGGAATAATGTGTATATCATATACCAAAGGGCTTTTAGCTATCTTCCAATACTGTAAAACAAACAAACAGGAAAGAATGATGGGCTCATTCTAAGCATGCAAAGGTTCTCATTAGCAGAAGGTGGTAGCAGCGCGGACATTTGCACTTTTAGAATGATTCAGAAAGAGAGGAAATGCTTTGACACCCTCGGCTGGTGCCTACTTGGCTTTAGTCTAAAAGTGGCCCTGTCCTAGGATACCGTGTAAAAACCACAATGAATCATAATTATTAAAATTATTATTTTTAATTACTGTTAAAATCTGGCCATTAGATCAGAGACAGGCAGCCTGTGATCTCTGGCTTAATGGTATGTGTGCCAAAACATGTTTCCCTTCATGCAACATCCTGGTTTGGAGGGAAAAAGAAAGAGAATCCAAAAGAGGAGGAGAGAAAAAGATAAAGGCCTGTTAGGAGGGAAAAATGTAACCGGAGGGAATGGTGTTTCTTAACCTCTTCTGAGTCTTGAAGCACCCAATTTTTATTTCATCCCTATCTATTACACACCCTCCCCAAAAGATTACCTTAATGAATGTGGACCTTGATAGTATATACTCATGTTTTGAAATGACAGGCATTATTTGTAAATATTTTACATATATTTTCTTGGTCCCAGCCCTTTAATAAGTCAGAAGAACGTGCATGCACACAAACACACATACGGTAACAGCTCTTGGTATGCTAATCTTAATGTACAAATGAGGGAGCAATATGTTTTGTTTGCATTATAGTATAAATGTGTTTCTTCTTCTTCTTGTGCCATATCAATTATTGGACGTTGGCGATCATGTTGGCGATCCTGTTTTTATCAGCAGCCGCACAAAAAAGTGCTGCTGAGTTTTGTCCAAACCAGTCCTTTAGATTTTGAAGCCACAATATTCTTCTTCTGCCTGGACCTCGTTTGCCTTCAATCTTTCCCTGGAAGATTAAATGGAGTATGCTGTATTTTTCTGGGTGTCTCATCACATGTCTGAAATATTCTAATTTTCATTTTTTAATTGTTTTGATGATTTCCCTTGGCTTTCCCAGGTGGCTTATCACCTCCTCATTTCTGATCTTGTCAATCCAGCTTATACGTAATAGCCGCCTGTAAATCCACATTTCAAATGCTTCTAGTCTCTTCAGGTGGCCTTCTGTCAGACCAACTCTCTGTATCCAGCTTGCATTTCATGAACCTGTATGTGAACAATAGCACAATTTCCTATAAATTTTGTGCTGCATTATACAACCCAGAAATGTTTGTAGAAATGCATGTACAGGTGTTTTCAAAACAACCACAACCAGAAATTGATACGATGCAGAACTGAATAAAATCTGAAAAAATATAAATGAAGCAAATTTACTCTTGATAGATTTTTCCCATCCCTATCTCTGCAAAGCCAAACAAAAATACAAGATTGCAGAAATGGGGAAAAAACCCATTAGAAGATATGGTTGTGGGAACTCACAAATAGCCTAATCCAGGGGTCCCCAACCCTCAGTCCGTGGACCAGCACCGGGTCACGGCCTGCCAGCAACTGGGCCGCACAAACAAGCGAAGCCCCATCCATGGGATGCCAGCAGCGTGGGAAACCACGCCCCCTCCTGTCTGTGGAAAAACCTTTCTGCACGGAACCTGGTACCCAAAAGGTTGGGGGCCACTGCCCTAATCAGTATCATCACTGATTTTAAAATATCAATAGATGAGAAGGGGGAAGTTCAGTGAGAGATTGTAGGTAGCCCACCCTTAACAATTGGTAGCTTAAAAACCACTTGAAATTACACTGGCCTCGGAAAGGGTGCTTTACGACCTGTAAAACATTTCTGACTATTGCAAAATGCCGCACCAACCCACCATGTCACATGATTGCAGTCTGGTGTCTCGGCAACTTGTTCCATGTGTATGACCTGTTGCAAAGTGTCCCGCAACCACACGATCGCCATTGGAAATATTCTTTGCCAGCTTCAGAAAGTCAATGGGGAAGTTGGCAGGGAAAGTTGCAAGCTGCTGTTGCTTGCTGAAAGGACTTCCTCTTGTTTCTAGGGTCTGGCTGAAAGAGCTCCCTTCTGATCCATGCCTGCTTGGAACTTGGCTGCTGAAATCAAAGCAGGCATGAAGTTAAAATCCTCTGCAGAGGCAAGGAGAGAAGGACCCAAGCTCTTTGAATGTCTGGACCTTGGCTGCTGAAATTCAAGCAAGCATGGAGTTCAAAATCCCTCTCTCTATATATGATCAAGCTAATAATTGCTGTCAACATTCACTTCCACTTTGCTTGGGCAGGAGTGCTTGTACCAGGACTGTCAAGTGAAAACTGGAGTGAATTTTGATAGTGGTCCTGCTTTGGGGGAACGGACCTGCAGCAGGTTTATATAACAATGTAAGAAGCAAAGCTGAGTTTTGAAGGATGGCAAAATTTGTGAGCCCAAACACAGGCCAATTTTCAACCACAATCTTTTTATTTATGATTTAGTTTTATGTAAAGAGGGAGTCACAAGAATTTTGTATCATTTGGGTGGGAAATGGTATAGCAGATTTTGAGATTGCCTTTTAATGAATTAGAAAAGTTTTTGGATAATTGCCTCCCCAAATATTTAATAGCTCACTATTTAGAATTACAAATCCTGTCATATTTTAATGAAAGTAATGTATTAATAGTCTCAAATACTATTTTGCCTTATTGGTATGAGTGCATTATAACTCTGCGCGCCTAACTTTTTAAGAGGCTCTTTGATTTATAAATATTTAGGTTGTGTTTTGAATGGTTTTATTATTTTATCTGTGGTTTTGGAGGACGGTTTATTGTTGCGTGCTTGTACTTTTATGGTAGATGCTTTATTGTTGAGATTGTAACCTGCCAAGAGTCATTCAATTGCAGTAGCCCAAAAATTGATTGACTGAATGAATAAACTGAATGAACATATGAATGAATAAATATAATGGTATGTGGAACACTTTAAACACATTTCAGCTTAATTGATGTTGATGCATTAAAAAAAATGAAAAGAATTGTTTGGGGAATGATATCCGTTAAGATGTGTAGAATTGCATTAAAGAATCAAGGTTTTATAACAAATCAGTAAGATTTGAATAAAAGATCAAACAACTGTTCTTTATATTAATGTTTTTCTTCGATTGGTGAATTTGCTTAATTTCTCTCCCCCCCCCCATTTAGCCCCCAGATGATGGTCCTCCTCCATTGCCTTCCTCTTCTCTTCCTGAAGGTTACTATGAAGAGGCTGTGCCACTCAGCCCAGGGAAAGCTCCTGAATACATTACATCCAGTGAGTAAAATATACCTTTAAAGGGATGCAAGTATATTTTCTTGCTTAGTTGTTTTCATTTATGAATATAAAATTCAATTGTAATTTTTTAAAGAAGACTATTCACAAGTATCTCCGACTATAGCATACTTTATTAAAATGGTATTCTTAACCAGCTCCTAATGAACCTGTGGCTGTTTCTAAATAACATTAAGATACTGCAGAACTTACCAGGAATAGTGCTATTGGTTTGTTACACATTTCTTGTGTATTTAGTCTGCTTTTATTGTCACTAAATAATGTTCATCTTCTCGCGAATATATTCCTAATACAGTCAGAATGGATGAGATAATGCTGGTCTAAGATAGGTAACAGGTGAAGGTCAAGGAGGTATTATGAATTTGAAGCAGAAATTAGTGAAGTAAAAGACTGAAATATCAGAGCCACGATTCCTGTACAGGACTTTTTGCTGAACTTCTTCAAGCAAGAATTTCTAGAGTAGCTTCATGGCAATTCACTATGCAATTCATTACAAAAATCTAACTAGGAGATTACAAGCCATAGATTATTATAGCTTCATTGTTTAGATATATATATTCCACCTTTCATTGAGAAGCTCAAGGTTGCTTACCAGGGTCTCCCTTTATTTTATCCTTATAGTAGTTTAAAGGGGAGGTTGGGCTGAGTGATAGTGACTGACCCAAAGTCACTCAGTGAGTTTTCATGGCTGAAGGCAGAGATAAAGCTGGATGTCCCCGTTATGTTATTGTTACATCCAACTGGCTCTAAAAAGCATCGTCATGCCACGCACCTGAAACATTGGATTCCCTTGTCTGGAGAACTGTCATCACAGTGGCAGAGTTAACTTGTGGGGGACAACTGGACCAACTCTCCAGGGCCACAAAGTTTAGGGTCTCCAAAACCCTGTATCTTTCTTTATGGGTGAAAATGTAACAACCTGTAATGAAACATGTTTCAATATTATTGCTTTCAATTTCCTTTGCATTCATAAAGTTTACTTTTCATTTTTGAAAGAGATCTTATTACTGTAGTCATATATAGAACATTGCTTAAATGTTTTTGTAACTTTCACGAGAAAGCATGTTCCCACAAACACCTGTCAGGCAATAATGAGAGTTAGTTACAAATAGTCTTTGACTTAATGATCGTAGGTAAACCCAGAATGATAGTCATAAGTTGTACTGGTTGTTAAACAGGTTATCATGTGATTGATCTGATTTTAAGATGTTTTTTCAGCAGTTAAGTGAATCACCATGGCTGTTAAGCAAAATTGTGGTCATTAAACAAATGCCATGGTCGTTAAGCAAACCTAATGTTTGCAATGGGTGTTTTTTTGCTGGAAACTGGCAGTTTCGTGCAAAAATTTAGTAAGTTGGTGTCATGTCACTGTGGGGGTGCTGCAAATGACCATAAATGCAGATTGATTGCCGAGCTCCCAAAATGCACTCATGTGACTGCAGGGCAGGCCTGGTTATTGGATCTTTGAACCTGGGTTGTAATTTCCGTTTTGGGGTCTGTTAATAACTTTGAATGGTTGCTAAGCGACCAGTCATAAGTCAAGGACCACTTGTAATTAACTTTTCAGTTGCCAACTTCTAGGTTTATATAGTTAATTTTTTTATGTATAAAGAAAATTTTGCCAGTTAAATATTATATCATTCATGTTATAAGAATATACAATCATAAGGAAAGATCAGCCACACTTGCTTTATTATTTACACTTTTTTAGGTTTGGTATTATTTATGACTCCAAAGTTAGCTAATTTTGCTTGTAAAAGTAATTTTTTATATAAATATCCATAGAATTATATCTATGGAGTATATAATTCCCTGCTGTTAACTTTTAAGGCAAAAGTGCATTTTATTAAATTATGCTGTTATAATGTTATACAGCACCAACTGGTTAATTCCAGATGTGACTTTGTTGGTCTGTTATATGCAGATTTTATTTTAATAGAACTCTTTTTGCCTCTTAAGATTATGATTCTGATGCAATGAGTAGTTCATATGAATCTTATGATGAAGAAGATGAAGATGGAAAAGGGAAAAAAATGAGACACCAATGGCCTTCTGAGGAAGCATCAATGGACCTTGTTAAGGATGCTAAAATTTGTGCCTTCCTTTTACGAAAAAAACGATTTGGACAGTGGACCAAACTATTGTGTGTGATCAAAGAAAACAAACTGTTGGTAACTAAGCCTTATGGATTTTATTGAAATGCCAGTTGCAGTGCATTTAAGTTCAGAATTATGCTGGAAAGTAATCTGTATGGCTCAGGAGCATTTGCTTAAGTATCATGATTTAATTTGTCTTTTTATGGCTTAGTTCTCCTACACAGAAAAGCAGGTAGCCAGCACTTAGCTTCTGCAATATATCTTTGTGTTTTTTCTGAAGTATGATTACTTACTGGAATAGCATGGGCAGCCAAGACCCAAACAATATTTTAATTCTGACTGAATTAAAATTAATGGTAAAATTTTGCAGAAGAGTTAGGCAGGTTGAAAAAGACATACAGAATAATTAGACTGAAGAATATTTAAGAATGTTGTGCAGTGCCTGGTACTTGGAAGGCATCTTGGCATTCAAACATGCAAGTCTCGATTTTGCCCTTTTTCCAAAATCCAGCCCCAATTTAGAATAATTTAAATAATGATACTGTAATAATGGATAGTGCTAGATTGGGAGAATAACATAATTATTTCAGCGTCAGTTTCTGACACTGGCTGCTTTTGACAATTGGTTGCCAAAAATTAATGTTGAAGAAATTCTCTATATTGAGAACCTTGATACTGTTGGCATGTTCATTAAAAAAGTGTTGGAAAAGCATAATACTGGAACATGACAGAAATCATTTTTATTTATATATTAAATTTACATAGTTACCCAACTCACACTTGTTTATGGGCAGTATGCAACAAAACAAGCAATTAAAAACAAATCTAATACAACCATTACAAACAATTCCACATAAAATAAGACTGTGGTAGAATGGACCAACTCCTACATGCAATACAACCATATTGCAGACTCCATAGGGTCCTCGAACCAGCTGGAAAAAAACTGGTTTTTAATGATTTCTGGAAGGCCAATAGGGTTGGGGCTAATCTCACCTGGGGAGGAAGTATGTTTCAGAGGGTGGGTGCCATGGCAGAAAAGGCTCATCTTCTGAATCACATCAGATGAAACTCTTTACCAACTAGGACCCATAACTCTTTACCCTGCTGGACTTGATGGGATGAGGAGATGTAACTAGGGAGAATAATCTCATCCCATGCCATGTGGAGCTTTAAAGGTCAAATATAGCACCTTGAATTGAACCAGGAAGCAAACTAGCAACCAACGCATGGAGCAGAGGTAAAACATGCCATTCTAGGAGCACATATAATAACTGCCTGCACTACCACATTTTGCTCCAGTTGAAGTCTCCAGATGTTTCAAGATAGCCCCATGTATAGTACATTACTGTAATCCATTTGGGAGGTGACTAAGTCATGAGTAACTGTGAGTAGTATCTTAATGGTACACAACATGAAGTTGTGCAAAATCCTTCCTACTCAGGTTTGCGCCTTGAGCAGGAATCATGAGCCCAGAAGGCTCCCCAGATTGTGTACTGGGGATCTTTGTGGCTTTGCAACTCCATCTAATACCAAAGATGGTAAAGCCCCAGAACTGGAAGGCCCTAAAACAAAAGCCAAATAGTCTTGCCACAGTTTATTTGAAACTTGTTCTCCATCCAAACCCAACAGTCTCCAGTTACAGACACAGGGCATCAAAAACATAATTTACTTTGCCAGGAGTAAAAGAGATATAATCAAGTTTCATCAGAATATTGAGGATACCTCACCCCATGGTGACAGATGATCTCATCCAGTGGTTTCATGTAGATGTTAAACCAGCGTGGGGAGAGCACCAAACCATGTGGAACCGCACATAGAAAGGGGCTGAGAGTGGGGTCTCACCCTCAATCGATATTGATCAGTATCAATCTCATAAAAAAGAAAACAACCAGCCCAATTGAGTGCTGCCCACTCTCACTTTACAGAGCAGATCCAGAAGAATACTATGGTCAATGATATTGAAGGCTGCTGTGAAATAAAGACAGGATGGATGCACTATTTACATCCTGCTCCTGCCAGAGATCCTCCAAAAGCATGACCAACGCCCATATCGCAATCCTGGCAGAAGGGTCTCTAGATAATCTGCTTCATAGAGGGTCTATGGAAGTTGCTAGGTAACCACATTCTTCATAGTCTTTCCTTAAATAGGAGAAATTGGAATTGGAATAAAATTGATATTGTTCCTATTTCAGCTAGATTAATGCTGGTTTTTAACAACATTTTTGTCATTTATTGTAAGTATATTATTGTCAAAAGGGTTTTTGCCATTGTTAATTTGTTAATAATGAAAAGATGATGTGAATGGAATTGTTTATTTAATGTGAAGTTGATGTTTGCTCAGTGAAATTTGATTCTCACATTCTTATTTTTGCCCCTAGTGCTATAAAAGTTCCAAGGAGCAACAGCCTCAGATGGAACTGTTATTGTGTGACTGCAGTATTACATATATTCCCAAAGACAGCAAAAAGAAGAAGCATGAACTGAAAATTGCACACCAGGGTCAGGATGCTCTAGTTCTTGCTGTACAAAGCAAGGAACAGGCAGATCAGTGGCTGAAGGTATGTCACGTTATAATCAATTCCATTGCTCACCCTTCCATTGATTAATTTAATACAAAGTAGTGATTGATAAAATGTATGAAATCTTAGCATAAAATCAAATATGTAAAATATTAATTTCACCCCATCATTAAACTCATAGTGATATAGGAATTCAGCCAGTCAACATGTTAAGTAATAAATTAGGGTTGGACAAATAAACATTGCTCCCTTCTGACACTAGCATGATTATTTAATTCCAATAAACTTTTAAAAAGTATTAAAGTTTGGAAGCAGCAGTGGATTTGCTGACAATTGGAGGTCTAGATGCGTCTTAAATTTATGTGGCTTAAATTAATTATTGGGTAGCTACAGATACAATTTAGCACAATTATATCTTGTTCAATTCCAGTTAATTTAGATTTTGAAAATAAAACAATACTGATTTTAAAAATTGTACCTAGGCATGTGTTGCATATCTGCTTATTTTAAAGGAATTGACCTTCAGCTCCAAAGTATTTATTCCTTACAGGTGTTTGCTCTTTTAAAGCACCTGTCCCAAATATTTAGGTCACAAAACCTAAAACTCTAAGACCTGGTCTTGGGGAGATGCCAGCGGACTGACTACTTTTTATCCAAATTAACCCAACCTTGCAGTCTTGTATGGAGAAAAGTGGTGCAATATCCAATTGCCCTTAGATCTGTTTGTTTTTGTTTTTATGGCTGGCATGCCCTTTCATTTCATAATACAGAACATAGCCAGTTGGACCATATTATTTTCCCCGTGAGGATGGGTTTTCAGAGCACGTGTAGTTGCTTTTTCTCTAGCCAGGGACTGAGGCACAGCTGACCTTCCCTTTAACATTTTCATCTTTAGAGAAATAGTAGTCTTAGGCTTTTTACTCTCATCTGCAAAAATCTTTGTGGTATACTGATAATGCCTTGATACCTACTGGTCCTATGTTCATGTTTTTTTCTGCTCATCTTCAGACCCTGTACCTTAGACCTGGGAACAAGAAGAGAGACAGGCAATATTTTCAGGAGCTATATTTCCAAAATTTAATAGATTCTTTTTCATATAAGACATATTTCATATGAGATACTGTACAGATTTAACAAAGAAAAAAACAAGATTGTGCTTATCTATAACTGTCTTACAAGCATATGCCAAGCTCACCTTATGTGCCTTGCAGAGTTTATGAAAAAGCACAATAGGAGACTTGCATGCAGATATCAAAGATGTCTTCATAAAAGAAGTTAATACCCAGAACAAATCTTTTTCACTCCAACATATTATTTATTTTTTTTGATTGATTGCCAATTAGTATTATTGGGAATAAAATAAACATACAGGAAAAAACAACCCAATACAGAATGAAATTATTCTGCCTTAATTCATCTTTTAGAAATCAATCCAAATAAGATTCATCTAGAAAACATTCTAAACCCAAACCTCTCCAAAACAGAGAAGAAAATTTCATAACTTTTGAGTGAAGCAACTCTAGAGATTCTCTTTTGGTGCCTTTACTACTGCATAGTAGTAAAAAAAAAAACTTAAATCGTACTTAAGGATAATAATACGATATCCTGAATAAGTAACCACAAAGTTCTGTAGAATTCAAGCTCTATAGGCATTTGAAGCTCAAATTGGGACTTGGGATTAGGTAGGAAACTAGTGCTATAGAGCTAGATTAATACTACTTTTAGAATATTAATGTTTTTATTCTTGCATTTAATTTGACAGTTTGCAAAACTCTTAATCTTCCCTTTGGGGACTGAACAGAAGGGTAGACTGGCAGCAGACACATATCTCTCCTTGCTCTGTTAAAACATCCCTAGTTCTTAATTTTGTAGCAAACAGTTTGGGATGGAAACAGCTGTCCTGATAACAGTGAGGGGCCTGAGTTCTGTCTTGCTGGAACGATGAAATCTATCTTTTGAAAGAATGCATGATTTCATAGGCACAGCTCACGGCCAAATTATTCTCTTTGTCCTCTCTCTGACATCTGTGTCTTTTGTAGCCAAAACTAATTGCCTCTGGGATGAACAGATACTGAAAACATGAGCAATATCCTAAGGGTCACTGAAGAGGCAGAAGCAAAAATACAGAATACAGAAATACTTGCACAGCTAAAAGGGATACTTAAATTGAAATACAAATCACATACGTTTTTTTAAAGAAAAATCCATATAGATGTGCTGTTTAATGTATTAAAACAACAGCGTTTTCTTTAGCTTATCGTATGGAAGGGGGAGAATAAGTAGGTTAGGATTTTTTGATAAAGGAAAAACAGGAAGAAGCAACTTAAATGTTTCTGTCATATTCTGTAATAAAAGAAATATTTTGGTATTGTAGGAATTATACATTTTATCTTACTAATAGTCCAAGAGCTTATAATCTAGAAATTGGGGGTAAGCATATTGTTGTGCTTAAGCAGCAGAACAGCATATTTTGTTCCAGGCCTGAAGCAAATCTCTTGGAACATGCATTCTTGTCCTACAGAACAATTTTCAAATATCTCAGGACCTGGAAGAGGAATCTTTTTGCTTAAGAGTTTGTCCCAGAATTAGCACTGCTTATAGAATTCCCACAGAGAGTGTATGATAGCAATTTTTTTGTGTTACAAGAATTTACTGCCTTTCAGTCAATGTCTCTTGGTAGACCCAAAGAATTTTACGTGAAGTAACTCCTTGCTGCTGTTACCTATAAAGAACTCTCATTGTGGCGTAGTTTTGTGCTAAGATTTGCTACATTCGTTAAATAGTGGTTATATGAAACTATGGAAGTTAAGTAAAAATGGGTATGTGGAAATGCTGGTTCCAAATAGGGTTGTTAAGCGAGGACTAACCTGTACAGCAGCATCTCATTGTCCGAGAGGAAGCGATTCAGTCCATCAATAAGATCAGTTGCAAGTAAAAATAACAAGAAATATGCCATCTCTTTCTTTTTTTTTCAATACAACTATATTTTTATAGTAAAATTAAATTCTTGGTATTCCATTATTTTCACACCTTACAATATTATGTGTAAAGAAGAAAATAAAAATACATATTCTATCCGTATTCATTACAATTTAGGATAACAGTGTTAGAATCAGTATAACATTGATTAGAACAGGATTTATTTCAGACGAAGTTAAATTTAACATTGAAAAGGAAGGGATAAAAGAAGAACACACTGTGACCTACATATTGTTATTTAATAAATGTTTCAAGTGTTAAGCAAAGTTATTTTTAAGTTAATTTTGCCCATCTTTTAATTTATAGTAATGTAACTTCCATTGTTTATTTTTATTGTTTCATTGCTTCGCTATTGTTGTTTTTACATTTTTTAATCATTATTTTTCGGTTTTACTGTTGTAAGCCACCCAGAGAGAGCCCCATAGCGGGATGGGGTGGCAAATAAATTTAAGCAAACAAATAAATAAATACTTGATATTGAAGCTCCATTGTATTGTTACTTGATGTATGTATGTGAGTGTGGCTGTATGTGTGTAATGTTTATACAGGTTGTCCTCAACTTACAACAATTCGTTTAATGACCGTTTGAAGTTACAACACTGAAAAAAGTAACTTAATATGGTTTTTCAAACTTATGACCATTACAGTGTCTGCATGATCAAAATTCAGATGCTTGACAACTGACTCATTTTTATGATCACTGCAGTGTCCTGGGTTCATGTGATCCCCTTTTGCTACCTTCTGGCAAGCAATGTCAGTGGGGAAGCCATATTCACTTAACAACCATGTTACTACCTTAACAACTGCAGTGATTCACTTAAGAACTGGGGCAAGAAAGGTTGTAAAATGGGGCAAAATGGAAATTTTGGGCTCAATTGTGATTGTAAGTTGAGGACTACCTATACATGTCGATAAAAAGAAAACATAAATAGACAAAGTAAGTTCATAAAATTAAAATATTAAGAGTAAATAAGATAAAATAATTGTATTTTTTAAAACAGCTATTATACCTCTTTTCAGTTTAAACTTGAGTTGAAAAGTTCAATTTGAATTTAAGCTGCCTAGCAATTTTCTAGGTGCATATGTATATAAAAGGGGAAGAACTGGATGACAAGAAGGAATGTTAAATCTAATTAAAATCTAATTAAAATCTAAATCTAATGACAACTGACTATTAAATCTAATAAGAAACAGAAGGACAACTACGGACATATGACATAAGCATTCCTCTGTCCAGAGTGAGAAGCCTCAGATAGGGAATTGAACTTTTTATCTGTAGCTTTAATGCTTCCTTCATGTCAGGCATAAAATGCTAACTGAGTAAATGGCAGGTATTAATAAGATACTTTCTGATTTACTACCCTAGCAAATTCTCATTCTCTAACTATCAAGATTATAACTGGTCATTCATTTTTTAATACTATCGTTTCCTTTCAGTATAAGCTTTTGTAAGTTTTTTTTAAGTTTCAAGCAAGATACCAATGAACATATTTTTCTATTCTTTAAAGGTAATAAAGGAAGTTTGCAGCACCTACGTTAGCACAGTAGATTCAGATGGACCATCATCTAATTCTGTATATAAGACTGATCTTGAAAAGGTAATTAAATTTCAAACAACGAAATACAATATGGTGGTTTCAGGTTGTTCAGAAATCATTATGAACCAGGAATCCTGAATTATTAATTCTCCAAGGAGATGGACAGTAGTGTGCTGGTTCATGCAGCCCATTCATCTTTGCTTTAGTCTTCTGTCTATGTGAGGTTCCCAAACAAATTTAGCAGGAGTGAAGTTGGGACGGTGGTTTGTTTATTTTAATATGTAAGCAAGGCAAGATTGTAAACTAAATACAAACTAGAGTTTATGGTGTAGCCCATAAATATACATTATACTGTGGTATCTCCTCAGATTATATATACACCATGGCTTAATAAAGTATGAGTATAGGATCAAGTGATGTGCCGACATGGCCAAAGAATTAACATTTATAGTATATATAGTATAACATTTATATATAGTATAACATACATAGTATAACATATACTATATATGTTAGTATATAGTATAACAGCACTGGACCGAGTCGTGCCTTTGCGGCCTCTGACCCGGCACAGATCTCAACTGGCTCCCTGGTTTACCGAGGAGCTAAGAGAGATGAAGCGCCGGAAAAGACGCCTAGAGAGCAGTTGGAGAGCTAGCCGAACTGAATCCAATCGAGCACAGGCAAGGATGCAGGTTAGATCCTACCTAGTGGCGATGAGGGTGGCGAGGTCTAATTACTACTCCACCCTCATTGCATCATCAGATAATCGCCCGGCCACCCTCTTCAGGATGACCCGCTCTCTCCTTCAGTTGAGGGGGGGGAGGATCCCGTGGAGGGGAGGGCTGAGGACTTTGCTCAATATCTGTATGACAAAGTCGCTCGGATTCGAGAAGGCCTTGACTCTGACTGGGTGGCCCCGGGGGAGGAGACGGGAGCAGGTCTTGAGACTGTTATATGGGAAGAGTTTGACTCTGTGGCTCCCGAGGACGTGGACAGGATCCTGGGGAGGCTGAATGCGACCACATGTTTACTGGATCCGTGCCCCTCCTGGCTGGTACTGGCTGCCCGGGAGGGTACACGAGCCTGGCTCCAGGGAATTATAAACGCTTCTTTACGGGAGGGTGTCTTCCCCGTAGCCTTGAAGGAGGCAGTGGTGAGGCCCCTCCTTAAGAAGCCTTCCCTGGACCCAGATGTATTGGCTAATTACCGCCCGGTAATTAGCGAAGGTTGTTGAGAGTGTGGTTGCGCAGCAATTCCCCCGGCGCCTGGAGGAAACAGTCTATCTAGACCTGCTCCAGTCGGGCTTCAGGCCGGGATACAGCACGGAAACGGCATTGGTCACACTGGTAAATGATCTCTGGAGGGCCCGGGACAGGGGCCATTCCTCTGTCCTAGTTCTTTTGGACCTCTCAGCGGCTTTTGATACTGTGGACCACGGTATCATGCTGCGGCGCTTGGTGGAGTTGGGAGTGGGAGGCACCGTTATGCGGTGGTTCTCCTCCTTCCTCACCGACCGTACGCAGTCTGTATTGGCAGGGGGACAGAGGTCGACCCCAAGGCCCCTAACTTGTGGGGTGCC